CAGTCCTATGCAAAGCATCCATCCAATTTCCAAAATTAACAAGACGATTTCATTAAGTTACTACAACATATTTTTTTAATCAAATCATTTAGTGCAGAATTTTGAGTTTACATTATACACAAAATAATGTTGATATTATTATTAACATCATAACCAGCAAAATAATATTTGGAACAGCACACGTACGTCTGCAAGATGTCTTTTAAAGATCTCTTGATCTGGAAAGCATCTGCTGACTACAAACGTCTTTACATACATTCTAAATCATAAACATCTTAAAGACATCTAATAGACATCTATTTGACATCTAAAAGGAAACGTCCTAGAAGTATTGCAGATGAGCAAACACTCTAAAAAATGTCTTAGTGAAGTAGCCTATTTACTTACGGTGTAGGTGTCTAAATTTTGTTTGTCTGGAAAATGAAGGTCAGATATAAATAAGTGAATATGCTTGCTCTGCTCCCCTTTTTTATACACATTTCTTGCGATGATTTTAGTGACATGACTCTTCCCAGTTCCAGTAGTCCCGTGGAAAGAGAAAACCAGTGGTTTGTTTGGGCTGCTGTCAGTCATAAATGACGATACTGTTTTCAATACCGTTGCCCGAAGAGAGAGTCTTTTAAATCTGCTCTCAAACCTGAAAGATATGAAAAGACATTAATCCAAAGATCTTTTTGTAGTTTGCAATGATAATTTATAGGCATTAACCACCAGTGTTGGGGAAAGTTACTTTTAAAAGTAATGCATTACAATATTGCGTTACTCCATAAAAAAGTAACTAATTACGTTACTTAGTTACTTTTTTTGGAAAGTAATGCGTCACGTTACTTTTGCGTTACTTTTTAAATCTGGATTGAAAAAGTAACTCAGATATTCTCTTGTAAATTAAAAAGTAATGCGTTACTTTACTAGTTACTTGAAGAAAGTAATCTGATTACGTAACTCGCGTTACTTGTAATGCGTTACCCCCAACACTGTTAACCACTAATTCACGAAAACGTAAAATAAAGTTACTGCCATGAGATGTGCTGGGCTTGCAATTTACTTTATAAACCAGCCCAGTTTTATAAGGCAAGACACTCTAACCTTAAAACAAATTATAGGCTATGTGTTGACGTATTTAGATTTAGCTTGGATGTGCTAATAAAGCTTAACTTATAAACATAAATATGATAAATTAGTTTAAGCTTTTACTCACGCTTAGAATCAAAAGACAGATAATCCGTATCAAAAAATCCATTTAGCATAGGAATTAATGTCTCTAGCAAATACGGAACCATTTTTCTACCCAGAATATTCAAAACCTCATCCAGCCAACTCAAACCTGATGCTGCTAATGTTATATTAGACACCAGAAATAAAACCGTAAAGAAATGCAACACGTTCATCATGAAAGCTATCCTTAGTTCGCGGAAGTATAACTCAGAGGAACCTAATAGTCTGTACACTCCCTCCGAAATATGCAGCAAGCTGATTGGCCTAGAAATTCAATTAACTGCTTTCATTTTCTTCTGATTCGTACAAGAGTGGAAACACATTTTGATCTCTGTTACGTTAAACAGCATGATGTGGATTTCCCAGTTTCCACATAGGGCTTCGGTCAAAGCTAGAGAATAAGTAGCCTATAGTTGATAATATTGGACTAGTAAACTGTTTACAGTGATTGTATAATTATTTCCAATTGTTCTATGTGTGCTCACGTGAGTAATACATCTTGAGAGTATTCTCAACATGTAGGCATCTTCGTGATTTAGCCATTTATGGTTTTGTATGTAGGCCTAACAGTTACAACACCATCAAGGACTAGTAGGCTACCACCAGGCTGCAAACAGAAATTCAAATAAAAAAAATAATTAATCACAACAGTCTCTCTACAAACCAGCTTCATCACTGCTTAAAAGAAATAATGTCATCCAAATACACCTAAACGCACCTGTGGAGCTTGAACGGTTATTTGCAGATGTACATGATGAACAGCATTTGGAGCTAAATATTCACAAGTACTCAGACAAGCCTGAACTTCTGAACTACTACCGCTGATGACCAGCAAGTGGAGCCAAATGTTCACAAGTATTCAGACAAGCCTGCAGATGAACCTCAGTTTGGAGATAGAATTGTTGCATAATTCCAAATAAATAGGTTATGATTCACAAATAAATGTAAAGAGATTAACAAAAATTAAACGTATTGACAAATAAATAGAATGAGATCCACAAATAAATCTTAGAGTTTCACAAACATGAATTAAATTCACAAATAAATAAAATGATATTTGCAAATAAAAAAACATTCACAAATATATATTTTTATGTCACAAAAATAGAATTGTTGCATAATTCCAAATAAATAGGTTATGATTCACAAATAAATGTAAAGAGATTAACAAAAATTAAACGTATTGACAAATAAATAGAATGAGATCCACAAATAAATCTTAGAGTTTCACAAACATTAATTAAATTCACAAATAAATAAAATGATATTTGCAAAATAAAAAAACATATTCACAAATATATATTTTTATGTCACAAAATAACTTTGCCTGGCATTCATTTGTGAATCCTGTACATTTGTAGATCGCTGTGCCTTTGTGGATCGGTGCGCGCATTTGTGGATTTTGAAACATTTCTTGCGTCAAATGCGTGACTCCACCCACCATGTGCTCAAGCCAATCAGATAACAGCCACACTTCGCTGACCAATCGTAGCACGTTCTTGCTATAGCCAATCACGTTTTGTTTTACAATCACGACTAGAGCAGATTCATTTTGCACCCCTGTAAGGAATTGCATTCTGTGGACACTTCGTTCAAAATTAGCGTTAAAAAAAAACCTGTTTCCAAAAGATTGTTGGAGTATAAGGCTTCTTTACATTTCCATCAGGATCACAATTTATGATCATTCATATATCCCGAGCATCAGCAGTAATACCCTCGCCACGCGTCCAAAGCAAATAGAAATCATTATAATCAGCAATACTGTCTACACTGGACGAGGCGCGACACTATGAAGGCCAAATGATACGCATATTTGCTTTGATGCGTCCAGTTGCAGTTGCAGCACAGCGCAGCGAGCAGAGTAGACATGGCACAATGGCTTATTCGGCCTTTTAAAGCACAATCGCGGTGACAAATATAGAGCATAATAACACGTATAATATCAGTTGGCCCAAATGTCCATCTGGGTACCTGATCAGCATCACTCCAGCGTGTAGCCTACTGGGGAGATGTGAGTGAACGATGTCAATAAAAACAATGCGTTTACTTCGGATGCTGTTAAGTAAATTTTACAATCAAAACTAGTAAGTCTGATTCATATGAAATACTGTTTGCATGATCAAGTGTTTTAACCAATAAATAAATGCATGCATATTCAACACACCTGCACCACATTTAAAAAAGAACCCACGTATATTTTTTTCCTCCCCAAACAATGGAAACTTTGGAATACTTTTTTAATTCCTGTTTGAAAATATAATTTATAATGCTTTATACATAGCTAGCTGCTCATATACATCAATTAAACGCCTTGACTGAAAAACTGCAAACGCTGTTGACTGTTGTGTGACAGCAATTTAACCTATTACACAAACTCGCATGTTTATCATGAGGTTGAATCCAGTTATTTATTAGTCAGTTGACGCTTTTTTCCATCTTGAATAACATGACACTTCCATAACGCGTTTGTATCCAGTATAGCATTGTTCCCATATAGCTGTGATTTAAAAGCGCTTTCTCTGGCATTTTCAACGGCATGTAAAATATAATACTGTGGCTTGGCTTGATACACAGTCTAACGGTCTAACGAAATCCAATGTTAAACATCTTTTACTGTACCAAATTGTAATGGCCCTTATGTTTCCTATTTGAGCCAATGCGGATGAATGAAGTTACTTCGAGGAGACCGCCCTGATTGCAAAGCAAAACGTGATTGGCTATAGCAAGAACGTGCTACGAATGGTCAGCGCCACGTGGCCGGTATCTGATTGGCTTAAGTAGAAGGTGGGTGAAGTCCATACATTTGTGGATTGTTGTGTGTCTTGACCAAGCGGCAACCTCCCGCTCTCTCTCGTGAAGCTAACAAGGAAGTGACTTAAACTGTAATTCATCAACTGGCCGCTAGAGGCTGGCTGCATAATTAAAGGCGTGGCCACTTGAGTGACAGGTGGATTGCCCTGCTGTCACCACTGTCGAGCTAGGTGGACGTGGTTTCAGCAACCAGCTCCCGCCTCTTTGCCCATTTTCGATTATCCGGGAGTGACGTGCGGTGACGCGCTGCCAAGGTGGCGACGGCCGCCTCCGCCCACTTTTGAGCTTCAAAACGCTCTTCGGAAATCTACGGGTGACGTCACGGACGCTACGTCCATGTTTTTATACAGTCTATGGTCTTGACACTAGAAATGTATCAAAATCCACAAATGCGTGCAGCGATCTATAAATGCACAGGACGCGATTCACAAATAAATGCCAGGCAAAGTTGTGTTTGTAGAATAAAAATATATTTGTGAATATATTTTTTATTTGCAAGTCTCATTTTTTTTATTTGTGAATTGAATTCATGTTTGTGAAACGCTAAGATTTATTTGTGGATGTCATTCTATTTATTTTGTGAATATGTTTGGTTTTTGTTAATCGCTTTACATTTATCTGTGGATCATAATCTATTTATTTGGAATAATGCAACAATTATACCCCCATACTTCTGAACTAGTACCGCTGAGGGTAAAAGCAAAGTTATGAAAGCAATTTTAGAGTGTGGAACTTGATTCCTACAAAAAGTCGCATAATTTTATAAACATGTACAATTTTTATATTTATGTGTATTACATAGACATAAAATATTAAATTAAGAAACTAACTGGTGCGTAAAAAAATAGAATGAGAAATTGCGGTAAAATGAATTCTGTGCACAAGGCTCTCTTTGGCGCCTCTAGCGGCTGAACGCAGGTAGTGCAGCTGGATCTCTTGACTAAAGGTGGTTTGAATGAATGGAAAACGCTTTCCACGGCTGAAACAGAGCAGAGGGAGCAGCCCAGACAAAGCAGCGAGAAACTTTCACGCTGCTAATCGCCAGTCCTGTCCCACCAAGCATGGATTTACAGAAGACGGCGGCGGTGCAGTAGATTCAACACCTTTCTGAGGGGATGAAAGCGACATTGGAGTGAATTTAAAGTCCTGCTGCTGCTGAAAGGACGATCTTATTTGGCTCCGCGGGTCGATGATGAAGCTTTACAATGCAACAGGTTAGAGTGAGTTTCGATATAGATCGATAGAAACACCACAGAATCGAATGCGATCGCTGGATCAAATAGGTGCATTGGTCATGTTGTAGTTCTTTTGTTAATCGCTGAGATGCAAAAGCAAACAGCGTGCACGCTTACCGAGCCATTGAAATTACAATGCAACAGAATACTGTGAGATCAAAGGAGATGCAGCCAAATCAGGCCTGTTTGAAATGTGCAACCTGGCTCTGCATTTAATATGTGCGTGCATTGCAAATAAAATGTGGATCAGTGACATAAGGATGTGTTGAAATAAAATAGATAAACGACTTTTTAAACTCTAGTTTTAAACGTGACAAGGTCTTAGAAATGTAATTTATCTTGGTTTCTTACATTTTTGCACTGCTTATACCATTTTTAACAAAAGTTAGACTCCAAAAAGTCAAGTGGTGTGACATTCTCATAAAAGGTACTAAAATACTTTTATTGCATATTTAAAATGTGTGCTTGACAACTTAATCATTGTTTTATAGAAGTTAAAATGTTTCTCAAGTAATATTTTAAAACATAATTGCTTAATTGTTTAATTTAAAAAAATGAAATTATTATGAAAGATTTTGGCAAACAACTTTTGTCAAGGTTATTATTATTATTATTTTTAATTCCTTACAATTTCTGGGCAGTTTAACCATGTTAACGTTTTTAACTTTAAGCCAGACAAAAAATATCCGCATTAAATGCATAAATGCATGTTTTTCATATTGTAAATGTCTTATGAATAACTTAATAGGCCTGGAGAGAACAAACTTAGCATCACATACAGTATATAGGCCTATATATACACACACACACACACACACATGCACAAATAGGTTCTTCAGTGGTTCTTCAGCGGTTCTTTGGTGCGGTTGAGGTTCTAAATAGCACCACTGCCATACAAAGAACCCGTTAGGCCCCTGTATAGTTCATTAAAGGTTTACAAACTCTCTCTTTAGTTGGGGAAAGTATTAAAAATGAAATACAATGTATTTCCTTTAGATAACGTGGTTCTTCTCAACCTTTTCGCCCCCAAGGCCCCCCTTATAAGGAAATATTTCAGGGCCCCCACACAAGAATTGTTTTACCTCAGAAAAGCATAAATGTGATTCAAAACAAACAGCTTTTGCCATTGTAGTAAATTCCCATTCATAGTAAACAAATAAGAGATCTAAAATCTAAGAATGGGGTTCCTTCTTATGGTTCTTCCTAGCACCATTTGACAAAGGTGCTGTATAACATCTTTTAAAAATAGGTGCTATATAGCACTTAAAGGGGTTCCCCTATGATTATGAGCCAATGAACCACTTTTAATGCTATTTAGCACCATTTTTTAGAGTGTATTTGTATTTATAATTTTAGCAGTCATTGTGTTTTGTAGATTTTCAAATGAACCAAGTTTGTTTAAAGAGATAAATACTCTGGATATAACATTGGCAATATGATGCTTACCCAAATCTGTGGGATGTGTCCCACCTGGGATCTATGCCCCTGGCAGTAAAATTAGTGTTCATTCTCCAATCATCATGCCAGGAGTCGTATCTGACCGCTGGTGACCCCTCCGCCAGCTGTTATAGTGTGGATTTCTACCTCAGCACAGAGGACGCAGAGTAAAAGCAGACAACATGGTACCCAACAAGTGGATTATGCATCCAGTTCTTCACAAATCACCTCCCAGAAGCTGGCTTGGCATCCGGCTACGTCTCAGTAAGTTTGCTTTCTCTTCTGACTCTTATGAAATGTTAATTAACTTTATCCGAAAAACAATAATGCAAAAAAGGTGAATGACTATGAATTTGTCTGTCTTGATGCTCTTGTATTCATGTTTTGGAATTACATTGCTTTTTAAGTTGAACAAATGATTGATGTTGATCCTTCAAATTCCATAAACAAATCAATAGTCATGGTTCGGCACTAATATCTTGACATCATATACAATCATTTGTAGCACAAGCACTCTCTGATCATAGTTTATACCTGTGGAAATGTTAAACAAACATTTAATGTCATTTTTACATTGTTTACTGCAGTGCATCTTTTTGTGTGATGTATTTGTCCGTTGGAGCTGTAGAAATGAGTTGCAGAAAATCCCTCAGCTCATTATTTAAACTAGCAGTTTAGTTCATTATAATTCATTTTAGATCATTTGCATATTAGGGATTTTTAATTGGTTGAGAATAGGGATGTAACGATTAACTGCGAGCCGGTTGAAAATCGATTCAAATATGTGACGATTTAAATCGGTTGAGATGCTAAACAAATCGCGATTCATTTAGGTGTAGGAGTTTATATGAATGCATGTCTGAGGGGAACTTACTGTCTTTAGAAAAGTTTAGATGGTATTTTTTCTTTTCATCTTGCCTCTGTATAATGCTTATTAAAGTTCATAAGTGCCTCGCTGCTTTGTTTACAGCGGAAACCAAGAAACGCTGTAAGCGCCACCTGCTGGCAGAGAGTGAATCTGCATCTCATTCAGCTTTGCTGTTTCATGCAGATATTTTTATTTATAGTTTCACAAAACTGAAGTCAAACCATTCTGTTTTTGCTTCAAATTTAGAAATTATACAATTTAATTTAGATTAAAAACTGCTCATGTTGCATGTATGCAGCATCTTTGTTTGGATCAAGATTAAAATGCAGTGGTTGCCTCTAATTTTAAAAGGAAAGAGCACAGACAAAGCCTTATTTTGTTTATATGAAGATATTTATTTTATTTGTGTTACTTATTTATTTGATTTGGGGCTTGTTTTAAAATTTCAATGTAGTTTTGTTATTTACATTTACATTATATTTAAATTTTGTCATTTAGCAGACGCTTTTATCCAAAGCGATTTACAAATGAGGACAATAGAAGCAATCAAAACCAACAAAAGAGCAGTAATATGCAAGTGATATATTAGTATATTATTATAGTGTTATATTTCAATTTCACAAAGAAATGTGCAGCATTTTGTCCAAGCAATAATAAAAGGACACATTTAATTTATAATTTGTCTTAAATCTCATTTTGTTAAAAAAACAATAATAATCGTGAATCAAATCAAACCGTGAAATCAAAATCGTGAATCGAATCGAATCGTGAGTTGAGTGAATCGTTACATCCCTAGTTGAGAATCAGACCAGAAGTGGCCTGTTCTTTATTAAATTCATAAATTGCAATATTTTTTACATGCATTTTACATTTCTGATGGAAAGGTGCATGGTTGCTGACTGGACTTTGTTAGAATATTTAATAATATATTCTGTTCATAAATAAATAGAAGCATGCATAGTGAAAAGTCCAGTAAAGTTTTGTTGTTTTAATAGACTTTAAAAATCAGATACATTTTATTTGAACAAATTCAAATCCAATTTTTGGATGCTTTGGCCATTCAGTACTACTACTTTCACAGACTGACATGCACAGACACTTCCTGCTGTTGCTAAATATTTTCCTGCTCAATTATATTGACCTCTTCAATCACGATAAGATTAGCCTTCCAGCCTGAATGGTTATTTATAGAAACCCCAAACTATTGTGTGGTGTACACCAGAGGCTTCTTAGCTCAGTGGGGGCTGCAAGTTACCCTTAGTGTACCAGACCACTCAAGCCTCCCTGAAATACATGGGTTAATTCTCAGAGCATCTGGTGTTTAAGGCTGGTCTGAGAGGAGCTTCTGGCTCACTCATGTTTGATTAGACATTTTATCTTAACAGTAGTATACCTAGTGTGTGTGTTCCCCTCATTTTGGATGCATGATGTCAACTGACTGACCTTCAAAGCTCTTAGCTTGATATGCTTCCTGAAAACTGTCATTGCATCACAGGTTTTACTTTGGTTCCTCTTGCATCCACTAACTCTTTGCCTTAAACGCTGGCAGATCCTTCTGCTTAAAGACTAATCTTATTATCTGAAGTGTTAAGGGTATTTATTTACCAGTTTGTGATTCTCTTAGCTATATTTGGTTTGTCCAGTGATAGTAAGGTTTTCTAAAAGTAACTAAATGCAAGAGGCTTTTCTAATTTTGCTAAATGTGCCTTTGTTTGACTTTACACTCTTAAAAATAAAGCTTTCAAAGGTGGTTTTCATAGCGATGCCACAGAACCACCATTTTTGGTTCCCCAAAGAACCTTCCAGTGAACAGTTCTTAAAAGAGACATTTTTCTTCTTGGTGTGAAGAACATTTTAATAATCTAAAGAACTTTTTTCCCACTATATAGAATCTTTTGTGCAATGGAAATGTTCTGTGGATGTTAAAGGTTCTTCATGCAACCATCAATGCCAAAGAACCTTTAATTTTAAGGGTGGATGACATTTGTACTGAACAACTAAAATAAGTGATCAAACTTTTTGGTGGATGGACAAAAAAATTGGTAAAACCATCTCATAGATGTACATTGAAGGAGGACAGGTATATCTAGAAACCAGAATACCAATCAATAATCAGAATATAGGATTTGTTTTGTCTTGGGATTAGTAAGGAACCACCTAGCAACCATCCAGAATGATGTACACTGTCAGAAAAAGGGGTACGGTTGGGGTCACCTTTTTCTGAGAGTGTATTTTTCTAAATAGAAGTAATTTTTTTAATACTGATTAATGCCCATTAAAAAATACATTGACTTTATTGTTTAAATAGTTGTTAAAATGATTAAAACCTCGAGCTCACACTGATCATTCTTTTTCAGAGGTACATATTTGCCTTTGAAAGGTACATACTGCAAGGGTACAGATATGTACCCATGTGAAAGGGTACAACGGGTGTACCCTTGAGGGTACTGCCCCAGTGACAAGCCATTGTACCCCTGACGGTACAAATTTTGCACATTTTTTCTGACAGTGTAGCAACTTCAAAGCAATTGCCTGGCATTGTGTCTATGAGCTTTGCATGGTCAAAATGTAAAAATCTACATATTCATACTACAAAAGTGATTAAGAAAAAAGAAAAGGACATTTAGCAACTTGTCTGCCAAAACTGACCCCATATTTGTCAATAAATGGACAGATTCATTCACAAGTGCTTAGTTTTTCTGACAAGATGCGAGTTAAATATCGCATGCGATTTATCGTGCAGCCCTAGTTTTTAGTCAAAAGAGACATTGCGTTCAATTAGTTTTATCAAAAGTAAAAATGTAATGAAGTATTGTTGGTAACTCACAAATAGTGTAATTCATTATGGCCTTTACTCGAGGGACTATATTGTAGGTCTGACTCCAAAACCCAAATGCAACCCCCCACATGCACGCAAAAACACACCTCAGGGTTATCGCTATCAGCTTTTCAAGTCCTGAGATGATGTAATGCTCATGAACAGACTCTTGCAGCTGTCAGCCGTTCCCTCCACCGTTCAACAGCTTTCCCATCATCCCTCACTCTGTCACGCTTTCAACTTGCTTTTTTCACACACAAAAAAAGGCTTAAGACAGTGCTATTAGCATATTGTTCTTCCTCCAGGTCCGGGTTTAAGTGGTTGTACTGCCATTAGACTCGCTGAATGAATGAGATTAGCAGTAATTTAGCCGTGAACTTACAGTTGAAGTTGTTCGGTCTGTTTGACTGATGGAGCGCCGCTGTTGGAGCCTGAGGGAAAAATTTCAGGTCCCAGCTGTGAGGAGGAATGAAAATGTTCACTCTTGTATATTACATATGCTGCAGAAGATTTTGGCTTAAATAATAAAAAAAGCATTTTCTAAGTCATAATAAGGAATATTTTTAGACATATTTTAGATCAAAGCAAACCATCATTTATTTGACCACGGAGTGTGTTGTTGGCGTAACATAAAACAGCCTCAGTTGCATTTATTAAACGGCTGAAACTGCAATATGATAAAATGCAACAATTTTCAGCAAAAACAAAAGTGTTGCGTTTATAATTTTGTTCAGTGTATTTTTTATTAATAATTATAATAGACAGTTATTCCACCAAGCAATATAGCTTATTTTAATAACAGTGAGCTTATTTTATTAACAGTGAGGTTCTTTCAAAGTTATGAACAAACATTCTTCTATTAACATTAATAGAAGGATCGCTCAAAGTCATCTGGTCTTTAGTAACGTTCTAAGAATGTTAGCACAAAAACGTTATTTTTACATACAACGTTCTTCTGAAATGTTTTATTTTGATGAGCTAGCATTTTTTAAATGCTACTCCTTGTTTCAGAACGTTCAGAGAACATTCAAAGTAACATTTCCATAATGTTTGCAAATTGATAAAATGTAATGTTCGTTCATATATACACAACATTCGTATAAAGTAAAAATGTCTTAAACTATTTTAAAAATTGGACGCTTTGAACGTTCAGGGACCGTTCAGAAATAACATTTTATACATTTTATAATTGGGAACGTTAGCAAAACTTTCTTGAAACTTGTTTTTGTTAGCTGGGTCCCTGCTGAAGAAACGTCTCAAAACAAAACAAAAAAAAACAACTACAACAAAAACCATCTTAAACCAGCCTAAGCTGGTCTTAGTTGGTATCCCAGCCTAGTCTTTTGGTTGGTTTTAGAGTGGTTTAGTGCATTTTTCAGCTAAACACCAGCTTGGCTGGGCTGAGAGACCAGCGTAAACTGACTAGCAAACCAGTTAGTCACTTTTCAGCAGGACTTTTATAGCTGACAAGCAACAGAACAGCTTGGTGCATTAATGTATACTGTAAAACATAATTTCCAACTAGTAAAATCATTCATGTTTTCATCTCATAATCACAAGTTGGAAAAAAGAATAACA